CTAATGAATCTCTGCAGTTTGACTATTTCTCTCTCACAGTAGCTCTATCGTTAACTCCGGTGCACGTAGATCAAGTTCATTTACACACAGGAGCACACACACACACACTGTAACACACACACACACACACACACTGTAACACACACACACACACACACAGTAACACAGTGGACAACACAAACAAACAATACAAAAACAACATAATGCATTTTTCCACTTTCACACATGTGTGGACATTGCCTTATTTTGGAGAAGGTGTGTGCAAAACTGTCCTCTCAGAGTCACAGTCAATGAGTATCTGAGGACAGGTTTTAAATCCTCAGGTGGGCAACATGGTGATTCTGTATGTGTTTTCAAGTGCTTCTTATCGCAACCTGCTCTGATACTGTTCATTATGTTTGTTTTTCCACGCCAACATGTTCACACTGTTTGAGAGTTAAAACTCTCCAGACCCTTCTTCTTTTTTATAGGCTGAAGAAAACATATATGATGGAAACTTGCTGTCTAATATAGTTTAGGATAATCATCGTTATTTGTTTTCACAATAATGAAAACCCGCCTATTTAATAGATAATAATTTAATTAATTCACTAGGAGCAGTTTCACATACTGTCGTTGTACAGTTTGTATTGATGCTGAAACAAAGACTGTTAAAAGCTCACAGCGTGTCTGCTTTCTTTGTACCTCGCTGTTTTTCCAAACTATAAAAGTGTAAAAAAAAAAAAGTCCAGAGAGCATTTTTTTTCTGGTTATTTTATTAATGGCAGAACACACATCGCTTGCAGACTTGTAGCCTAATTTGTTGTCATGTTTGTTGTCATGTGTGGGTCGATTATGTGGCAGGTTATATGGCTGTGTGGCTATATGAGCAGCCAGCATATGTCAAAGGCTGAATGCCGCTATTTTGGTTGATCTGATTGTTGTGATGCCTAAATATGAGCAGGTCACTGCTTCATGATGAATCCATTACAATGCCCCTGGTGGTGAAACAGCACACCTTACAGGTTGTATCAGAGCCCACTACTAATATTTTGTGACAATACTATAGACAATGACAAAGTAAATGTCCTGATATACATTTTTAACCAGAAGCGTGCTTCCTTCCCTGAATTCTACCAGAGTTTATTATACACATGTATGTGTGTTTTAACTGCACTTTGGTTGCATTCTTTATGCATACATACAACTTACAATAGCTACATTCAACCAGGTGGGTAAAACCAGTGGTGAAAGTCGTTCTCCTTTTGCCCCCAGCATATACTGTATTACTGTACTCAAGTATTTCTTTCTCAACTATTTCTGGAGGACCGAAATGTCATCATCAGAACAAAAGAGAAATGTATATGGAGCAATGCTCTTTTCCTACTCTCAACGATCATCTGACATTACTGTCTTTTGAAGGCATTAAAGTCAAAACTGGTCCAATGTGCAAGGAACCAAGTGTGTGACTGAAAAACCACAGACGAGCTGATGTAATTGATGATCTGTCCACTAGATGGTGCACATCATCCATCACCAGCTACAGTGAGCCCAGTGAGGACCATTTTTAAGTAAAATGCATAGAAAAAACACTTAAAGTGTTATCTTTAGTCTTTATTTTGCTTATTAGTGTGAATGTTTCAGCATTACAGTGAGAATACTACAGTATTGTTGTTGTAGTCTTTTTTATTATTTTCATTCAACTAATTGTGCTTGCTTTCAACCCCGGAAACCATTCAAATGACAGAACTCACTTCAAGGACAAGCATGCTTCTATTTAACTTTATTATTATTTCCTGTATGATAATGACATGTTTATATACCGCTGTACTGGTGCACAGCTGAAACAACTGCTCTAACTAATCTTGTCCAATAGAATATTTGATATCTCTTTGAATACTTGAGTTTGGAGTTTATAGTGTTTATACAATCCTTTTAAAATATTTTGTTTAACTTCTGTTTTTATGACGTTGCACACTGCACAATATAAATTGTTTTAGATTCTATAAAAGAGTCATGCAATCTGATTCCTTCATATGTTGTATCATTATGTGTAGCTAAAAAAAACCTGTAGTAACTACAACATTTAGTATATACATGATGAATGTTTTTATATTTTATGTGCTCCTGACACTTTAAACCCATATAAAGGCCCAGCACTAGTCCAACCACATGTATAACTGGAGTCCACATTTAATACATGGTCATAATGAAAATGTATTGATGTATTAACACTGATCCCAAAAGTAAACAAAGCTTCAACACATCAACAAACAAACAAATTCACCCACAAAAAAATATATCACAAAAATGAAGACTATTCAAACAGGATTAGACACTTTTTCTTAGCGTTGCTTGATCCAGAAGAGCTTATCACATGGCCTCGCTCTCTCTGTCGGCCCTCATCGATTTCAGTTCCTGCTGGGTGGTCGACTGACTTCCTGACGAGGACGCTGCATTCTCGCCATCACTTGTGTCCTGCTTGCAGCACAGGGCGCGGGGCAGTGAGCTGAAAAGGGCCTTCCTGAACATGGAGCTAGAGAAGACGTAGACGACTGGGTCCAGGGCCGAGTTCAGGAAATTCAGCCCCAAAGACACAATGGTGAGCTGGGTAAAAGTGTAGAAGGAGGTGCAGTCCCACGGGCGATAGGAGCGGATGACCCACACCCCAATAGTTGTCACCGTGGTGGGTAAGAAGCACACCATGAACACTGCAACGATGACGGCACACACTCGCATTGCCTTTCGCACCTTGTCTGGTTTTCCCATCTGTCGCTCCTTCAGGAAGCTGGAGATCCGGATAGAGCAGAACAGCAACATGGCCATCGGGATGATGAACTCCAGCACCGTCAGGATCCGGTGCATGCCAACCAGGATGATTATCGCCCGCGACGCCTCTTTGTAAGAAGTAAAGAAGAAGCACTGGGTGGTGTTGCCGCTGTTCTTGATGTGGTTGTAAGCAAGCATGGGAACCCGGGGGCTGATCACCAGGAGCCAGACAAATAGAGACACGAACGCAGCCTGCCGCTTGGTCATACGGTTGAACCGGTGGTGAGGGTGGACCACCTGAAGCAACAGTGATGGTGCATCATTTCATATTCTTTCTAAGAAAAATGTGCTGGTTTTATACTGTCATTTCCCTAGATGCCACTAAATCCTACACGCTGGAACTTTGTTCTCCAAGTGAAACATATGAGATTTTGTGCACTCTCATCGCAAAACCTGATATTTATTAAAATCAGGATCACACCAATTTGTAATGAAATTTAATGAGTTGTATTACCCGTAGTTTAATCACTTGTGTTAAAACTACAGGAAAGCTGACTGATGGACATCGCTTAGAGTTTTATACTGCATAGGCTATATGGATAGGCTATATGGAAAGCCTACTGAAGGGTAACAAAAATATGACGATGATGTTCAAATCATTTTCAGATTCATAAGCTTAAGTGTGGACACAGTCAAAGTGAGCAGACCATAATAATACAATGTACTAATTTCCTCACCTTAAAGTAGCGGTAAATTGCCACCACAGTCATGAGTGCGATGCTGGCTGAGCGGTTTGAAAACATCAGGAAGAGGTTGATCCGGCACAAACCATCTCCAAACACCCAGTGGCCCCTGAGCAAGGCATCAATCCTCAGCGGCAGACTCACCAGAGCCAAGAAGTCGGCAATAACCAGATTGAAGAGGAATAGGTTGTTGGGGTTCCAGGCCTTCAGTTTAAAGCAGAAGATCCACAGGGCAACTATGTTTCCCAACAGCCCCAGTATTACGTCAATGGTGAGGACTGGGGGCAGGATCACACCCTCCAGTTGAATACCAACTGGAGGGCAGCCACCGCCTCTACCACCACCAGGGATCGGGGTTGTAAAGTTTAAAGTTGGGGTGGTTAAGTTTGCATTTTGTTCTGACAACATTTTGGCAAATTCAATTTAAATATCTTTTTAATTTTTGTTTAACCAAAATATATGAATCAGCGTGGTGACAGATTTTGGGAAGACATTAAAAATAATGTTCTATTAAAAACAGTTGTGGGTTTGGTGGTTAAATAAGTTGTATGACCACACCAAGGAAAGTTTTGAGATTCAGGAAATTTGCCCTTCCCTTTTTCACCTTCTTCCTTTTTTCTGTAGAATGAAATCTGTGTTAAAAAAAACAGAGTGCTTTTGTCTTTTTACATGAGCCAGTTCCACTTTTTCACAGATCTTAATAATAGTAATAATAATAATAAGGCATTTTATAGAAAACATGTGGAGTGACACACAATTGTAATGCACCAATATACACCGATCAGCCATAACATTCAGACCACTGACAGCTGAAGTGAATAACACTGATTATCTGGTTATCAGGGCTCCTGTCAGTGGGAAGAATATATCAGCCAGCAAGTGAACATTTTGTTCTCAAAGTTGTCAGAACACACAGTGCAGAGCAGTCTGNNTATGGCTGATCAGTGTATATCATGTAGGATTGATCTATTTTCAGTTTAAAGTGTAGTTACTCTACAATTGCACATAAACATTTGTCTCTAGTTCAGTCTCTAATCACATTAATTTTGTAAACGTCGTAAAACATGT